CCACATAGGAGCGCAGCAGGTAGTTGAGGTACTTGGCACGTCGAATGCACTGAAGAAGCCATCAAACCACCCCAGCAACAACCCGTTCTGTCACCCCAATCACCGATGCCACTCACATTCCTTTTGAGGCGCCTCAAAGGCACCCCAATCACCATTCCCACTCACATTCCGGTTGTCGTCCACGTAGGAGCGCAGCAGGTACTTGAGGTACTTGGCGCGCAGGGCGTCTGGCAGCGAAGCCAGCACCAGCTTCTCCCCCACCGCCGCCCCGCACGACGGGTCGGGGCACCGCAGACACAGACACCCCGGGCCGTCCGCCACCGCTGCCTTGGCGTAGCCTGGTGAGTGATAGAGGGAGGGAGGATGAGCAGGTGAGGGGGCGCAGTGAGAACAGGGCAAATCAGTAAAGAAGCGAGTCTGCCCCTCCTGCCCCTCCCTCCCCCACCCCTGCCCTGCCCTGCACGCGGGGACGGGGCATCGCAGACACGCACCCCCAGGGCCGCCCGCCCCCGCTGCCTTGGCGTGGCCTGAGAGGGGGCGAACGGAGGAGAGGGCCGGGAGGGGAGAGGGGCGAGGGCCCAGAGGGTTAGTGCAGTAGAACAGCAGCAAGCAGACACAAACAGCCCAGCTCGTCCGCCACTGCTGCTTTGGCGTAGCCTGGAAGGGGGGGAGGGGGAGGGCTGGGGGGAGGGCAGGCGGGAGGGCAGGGGGGAGGGCGGGGAAGAGGGCGGGGAGGGCGGGGAGGGCAGGGAGGGCAGGGAGGAGCGCAGGGGGGAGGGCGGGGAGGAGGAGGGGGAGGGCGGGGAGGGCGGGGAGTGCAGGGAGGACAGGAAGGGCAGGGAGGCCAGGGAGGAGGGCGGGGAGGGCGGGGAGGGCAGGGAGGGCAGGGAGGGCAGGGAGGGCAGGGAGGGCAGAAAGGAGGGCGGGGAGGGCGGGGAGGGCAGGGAGGGCAGAAAGGAGGGCGGGGAGGGCGGGGAGGGCAGGAAGGGCAGGGAGGAGGGCGGGGAGGGCGGGGAGGGCGGGGAGGGCAGGGAGGGCAGGGAGGAGGGCGGGGAGGGCGAGGAGGGCTAAGGCCGTACCTCTCCAGCAGGCGTCGCAGAAGAAGTGGTCGTTGCACTCTGCTGGCTTCATGGCGGCCTGGGGGTAGCTCTCAAAGCAGATGCCGCACGTCAGATGGGGCTGGCAACGCGAGGGATGGGGAGGGGCAGATACGGACACGATGAGGGGAGGGGGAGGATAAGGGGCACGAAGATGGGAGGGGGGCGGCGAGAGAAATGACCCACAGTAAGGGGGGGAGCAGGAAGATACATCCATTCACCATCCACTCACCATCCATTCACCATCCATTCACCATCCATCACCATCCAATCACCATTCATCACCATCCATTCACCATCCATCACCATGCATTCACCATCCATTCACCATCCATTCACCATCCATTCACCATCCATTCACCATCCATTCACCATCCATTCACCATCCATCACCATCCAATCACCATCCATCACCATCCATTCACCATCCATTCACCATCCATTCACCATCCATTCACCATCCATTCACCATCCATTCACCATCCATTCACCATCCATTCACCATCCATTCACCATCCATTCACCATCCATTCACCATCCATTCACCATCCATTCACCATCCATTCACCATCCATTCACCATCCATTCACCATCCATTCACCATCCCTTCACCATCCCTTCACCATCCATCACCATCCATTCACCATCCATCACCATCCATCACCATCCATTCACCATCCATTCACCATCCATTCACCATCCATTCACCATCCATTCACGATCCATTCACCATCCCTTCACCATCCCTTCACCATCCCTTCACCATCCATTCACCATCCATCACCATCCATTAACCATCCACTCACCATCCATCACCATCCAGCACCATCCATCACCATCCCATCACCATCCCTTCACCATCCATTCACCATCCATTCACCATCCATTCACCATCCATTCACCATCCATTCACCATCCATCACCATCCATTAACCATCCATTAACCATCCACTCACCATCCATCACCATCCATCACCATCCCATCACCATCCATTCACCATCCATTCACCATCCATTCACCATCCGTCACCATCCAATCACCATCCATCACCATCCATTCACCATCCATTCACCATCCATTCACCATCCATTCACCATCCATTCACCATCCATTCACCATCCATTCACCATCCATCACCATCCATTAACCATCCACTCACCATCCATTCACCATCCATTCACCATCCATTCACCATCCATTCACCATCCATTCACCATCCATTCACCATCCATTCACCATCCCTTCACCATCCATTCACCATCCATTCACCATCCATTCACCATCCATTCACCATCCATTCACCATCCATTCACCATCCATTCACCATCCATTCACCATCCATCACCATCCATTCACCATCCATCACCATTCATTCACCGCCACCACCATGTGGGCTCCCACCCACCGCCTCACTCCACCACAGCTGCACCACTTGACTCGTGGCCACTACACCCTTACTCCTTACCCCCTCACCCCCCTCACACCCCCCAACCCCCCACTCCCCTCCCTCACTCACTCCCCTCACCCCCCCTACCCTCACCCCCCTCACTCACTCCCCTCACCCCCCTCACTCCCTCCCCTCACCCCCCTCACTCACTCCCCTCACCCCCTCACTCCCCTTGTCCCTTGTCCCCACACTCCTCCTCACCAACCTACGGCCCCTGCAGCGCCTCACCTCGGGCTCTTTCCCGGGCCTCCTGTCCGAGGCTGCGGACGAGGTTGGGGAGTGCGGGCGCGGCAGCCCCACGGCCTTCCGCACGCGGTCCTCGTCTTGGAACCACTCGTCGTTCACCTGGCTCACGCTCCTGGGGGAGGGGGGGTGGGGGGGACGAGAGACGTGCAAGAGAAGAGGACACAAGGAAAACGAGACACCCGTGCTGAGCCACAGCAACACCAGCCTTAAAGGTGCGTCATAAGCTGCCCTCCGCACGCTGTTCTCGCCTTGGAACCACTCGTCGCCCACCTGGCTCACGCTCCTGGGGGGAACGAGAGCCGAGAGGCGGGAATAATGGGAGGCGGCAAGGTGAGGACGGGCAGGAGACGAGGGGACGACGCACGAGCAACACCACACCACACCACACACACACACACACACACACACACACACACACACACACACACACACACACACACACACACACACACACACACACACACACACACACACGCCCTTGCTGAAACACAGAAAAGCCTGCGTTTCCCTGCTCTCCCTCTCTGTGTCCTGTGACACGGGCATACGGTGGAGATTAACCAAAACTCGGGGGATACAGGGACACGGGAACGTCCAGAGTGAGGAAATCCATCCGAAGGTCAGGAATTGGCCGACCATTCGAAGCGCCTCACCATTCACAGCGACTGACCATTTGAAGTGCCTGAGCAGGATGGCGGCGTCGTCGGTGGGGATGGAGAGCACGGTCGCCACGTCGCTGATCGCCTCCTGCTGCCGCTGCAGAATGTCCTTCTCCGAGAGGATCTTGTACCGCACCTGCGCGATTAGAAAGGATTCAGATTAAAAAATAAAATAAAAAAAAATCCCCAAATTCATCAAGAAAACGAAACCAGCGCCCGCCGTTCTCATGTGCTGCTGCTGGAGAATGTCCTTCGCCGAGCGAATCTTGTACCGCATCTGAGAAGGATTTAGAATTCGCAAGGACTTCGGATTCGACCCACAGAGGGAATCGGCGCCTGATGGTTCTAATATACGGAAAAACAAAGAGAAGCGGTGCCTAGGTAGCTAAGAAAATGACGGACGGGCGTTAGACATAATCGCGGAAAGGCGGTTATGTCTACTAGAGGCGAGCAGCACTAATGAGACAAACACGGCGACGCGATGGAACAGCGCCACGATGCGAGGGACGCGCATGCGGACACCGGCACCGGCACCGACACGGACCTGTCTGGGTCGCAGCACGGGATCGTCGTCGTCGACGTCTGGATCGTCGAAGCCGTAGTCCTCGTCCTCCTCCGAGTCCTCCACCTGCTCGTCGTCCGAGTCCTGGTAGTAGTCCTCGTCGCTGTTTGACATCCTGATCCACGCGACTGGGAACGGCCTTCTCAGTTCTAGCGACGAACGACGCTTTTCGGGACGATTTCCAGTCGAAGTTACTGCGGATTCGAGGAGGAAGCGGCAGGCTGTAAATCTGCCGATACGCCTCGAAATCCTACAAGAAATATAATAGGGAAAGTCAGTCGTTTATTGAAAGCCGATACGCCTCGAAATCCTCGAGCCTGACTCTTGAGCACCGTGTTCGCTAGCAAGGATCTCTAAGCCTATTTAGTGAGCGGCTCTCTTCCCCAGAGCTTTATGCCAGGCGTCGGATTTCTAAGCTTTATTCGACCCTTAGCAGACACTACTAAGCCCCGAAATCCGACTGCTGTTCGCTTTCTAGCGCAATTAGGTCTGCGAGCCAGCGAACACTGAGCAGCAACAGCGGAATCCTCGAACAAGCTGGCTGCGTGCAACCAGGTTGGTCTGGTCAGTCGAGCAGGGTCAAACGACCGCCACACAACACAAGCTCTAGGCCCTGCACTGGTGCACTCAACTGTAGCTTTATCCTGTATTTCGATACTATCGGAGCACACTACGAGAGGGATGCACTGCCCTTTGCTGGGCGTTTGGCGTTGCGTACTCGTTTCATTGCTGAAACGATCACGTTACGTGTGCCGTGTGATTGCGGAAGAGGCGAAAGTTGAGTGTGGCTCAAGCGACGGCTTGCGAAACCCTGGACAAAGATTTTTATATACCCGATACAGAAACATTGTGTGATAATGTACACACCAGGTACCCATAACAAAACGAAACATAGGTATACCCAATCAACATTTGATGCTTCACCTTCCGCTTGTAGTCGGTTGGACACACACTCACATAGTGAGCTACTAAGGGTGTGTCATTAGCGTTTAAATAATTGCGGTTCTTATACTCAAGCCAGTAATGTACATCTTTATTTAGCTGCAGGAACAAAATCCTTCAGACAAATGAAGCCCAGGACAATGCGTGCCCAGGGTGCACTGCAGTGGCTACTTTCACCGATGCACCTTCACTCGCTCCCTCTCCAATCACCACCTCCGTTGCAACACCGCCAGCCACCTTCACATCTGTGTGCTTCGCAGGGTTTCTCCCCCGTATCCTGGCAACCCTCCATTTGCGCAGTTCTTGCTCCTCCTGCTCCAACTCCTCCTTCCTCCTCCTCTGGTCCCTCACCTCTTCCACCCTCCTGTACGGCTCTTCAACGTAGTCCGGCTGAAACAGCCTGTCCCGGTGCCGCTGGTTGCCTTTCAGGACGTTGGTCCGCACCACTCCTATGTGCTGAAAGAGCGACGGAATGTGCACGTACGCACGTCGGCGACCATCTCCTACCGTAACACCGTCACTACCACTGGCATTATCACTGGCACTACCACCATCAGCATCACCAGAACCACCATTATCAGCACCCGAACCACCACCAGTGCCACCACTGCCACCACTGGCAGTGGTGAGGTACTCATGGATCAGCAGGTCCAATGGTGTCCTCATAAGGCCAGACTCAATATGCTCTAACAAGCCACCCACTGTGGACGCGTTGAATAGCAGCGCCTGTGCGCAGCATGGCACTGTGTACTCCGATCCGTGCGTCAGCTGCCAGCCATAGGTCTGCGGATAATAGAGTGACAGCACATCCCAAGCAGGGTATGCAAACTGTCGCTCACGCCCCATTGTACCACTCTCCCTCTTCCACCCCCTTCCACCCTCGCTCTCCCCCTCCCTTTCCTGCTCCTGCTCCTGCTCCCCTTTCATCTCCCCCTCTCTCTCCTCCTCCTTCTCCCTATCCCGCGCCGACACCAATCTAGGCAGGTCAACCCCAATAAACCTCTCAATCCCCACGTCCCACAGCCACGTGGGCACCACGTCATCCTGCAGCAGCAGCACAAACCTCGCCCCAGTGCCCGCGCACTGCCGCACCACGTGCACCGTGTCCATTGCCAGCTTCACGTGCCACCGCCACCGCTCCCACCCCTCGCTCTCCACCACCCCCGCCGGCACTTTGGTAAGCATCAGCCGCGGGTCGTCGAGGAAGGAGCAGATGGCGGGGTGCGCTGGGAGGACATGGACGGGGAGGGAGAGGGAGGCCGCGGTGGAGAGGATTGCGGCGGTGTGGGGAGCGGTGAGGGGGTTGAGGCGCGCGGCGATGGCGAGGGTGGTGACGAGGGCGCGAGTGGAGGCGAGGGAGGTGTTGGTGGCCCGGGCGAGGCGGCGTGCAGCCAGGTCGTAGGAGGCTGGGATGTGGAAACGAGCGGGGGAGGAAGAGGAAGAGGAAGAGGAGGAGGAGGAGGAAAAGGGGCCTTCTTTTTCTGTGCCTTGATTCCGCTCAACCTCATTTAAGGATTCGCTACCGTCTCCATCCTTCCCTTTCCGCGTTTCCGCCACCTGTTCCGCCATCTTCCGCACATCCCGCACCTGGCATCCCCCGCTGTACACTATCACGCGAATTGCGCGGTCAAACAGCCCCGCGCTCCTCTCCGCCATTGCGCGCGCCTTCCCCGTGACTCCACGGGGCCGTCCCCCCGCGCGCAGGCCGTCGAGCGCCGAGAGCAGGTTCGTGACAGTGAACCACGGCGGGCGCACTCTCCGCGGGTCCGGGCGCGGGGAAGACGCGATCGCGATGCACAGCCCGCTTCCGCTTCCGCCGACGCGGCGGAGGCGCCGCTTGCGGGCGCGATTGCGCTTCCCGCCGCTGCTGGCTGTGCTGGCGTTGTCATGCCGGCTCGACGCAGACAGCGGCAAGTGCGGCAAGTCCGAGACGGCAGAATGCGGATAAACGGTACGCGGGACGCGAAGAGCGAAGAAATCGGCGGGTAAGAGGCTGCGGAGATGGAGCGGGTGATGATGATGGGTGGAGTGCCGTTGGAGTGAGCGAGATGAGGAGGAGTTGGTGAGTTCGTCACTGGCTGACTGGACGCTGTTCGACTTCACTAAAGTGGAATCTGTCAACTTCGGAGAATAATCAGTAAGAACTTGTGACTTTATCGGGAACGTCTCCGCTCGTGCAGGCTCTTCGCGATGAATGCGGCGTCGTGCACAGATCACTCCGACTACCAGAACAGAAACGACGAGGGAAGTGAGAAATTTCAGCGCTGCGGCGGCACGACGCACTGCGATGGGGCCGCGAGGCTTTGCGGAGATTAATTTTGACAACTGAGCGCGTCGACGAGGCATCGACGTCTGTGCTGGTCGTCCTAAGTGCTCAGGAGGTCGCATCGCAGGTATGCAGTAGCTATGCACAGAGCTGACAAAGGGCTGGGCGGCTGAATGCGTAAACAGATGATTCGTTACTAGGTGAAATGGTGAACGATATATTTCGTGCATTCTGGACCAAGAAATCTAGAATATATTTTTAGTGTAGCCTCGGCGGGGGATGAGCGAATCCCAAAACGTTTGTCATCGCAGTCCCCAGTAGGTTTCCTTGCCACCCAAGCTGTAGTGCTCCCGCCACAATCGTAAACCCTAATTTCCCCCTCGCCTCTTCCCCTTCAGCCACTCAGCTCTCCAAACCTCCGCCACACATCCGCAAGCCCTGGCTCTTCCCCCCGCCCTCTTCCCCCCTATCCCTTCCCCCTTTGCCCTTTCTTCCCCAACCCCGGATCTCCCACCCTCCCTTCCTGCATGAATTCCCTCCCTGCTTCACCTCTCCCTCGCTGCTCGCTCGCTCTCCCTCCCACCCACCTTGCCCTCTCACTCGCCGGGCCCTGCCCCTCAAGTTTTTTCCTTCAACTAGTTTCTGCTCCTTTTCCCTTCCTCCCTCTCCTCGTGTTGACCTGACTCCCCTCCAACCATGGTGAAGTACCGGGTGCGTAAGTCTTCGTAGTGCCGTGAATCCTATCAGTGCCTGGAGATTACGGTTACCTCTTCTTACCCGTCTCCTTCCTCGCACCGAATTTTCGCCGCCTAGTTCCTCCTCCTGCTGTCGATATGCTGAGGTGTCCGTTGTCTCGGGCATTTTGAGGCACCCCAGCTCACGTCGTTCGCCACCCTGTTGTGGACATTTCGCCCCAGTTGCACCAATACCACGTCGTGGTTATACCGAACCACCTGATAATCCGTCCGTTGCCATCTCGCGCCGTCCCCTTCCTTTTCCTTCCGCTTCCCCGCTGCCCCCGCTGCCCCCGCTGCCCCCGCTGCCTCCCCTGTCCCCGCTGCCCCCCCTGCCTCCCCTGCCCCCGCTGCCCCGTGCGTGCGCGCCGTGCAGTTCCACCAGTACCATGTCGTGGGGCGCATGAACCCGAGCCCCAACGACCCCACGCCCAAGATCTACCGCATGAAGCTCTGGGCCATCGACCAAGTGCGCGCCAAGAGCAAGTTCTGGTGAGCCCTATACCGCGGACAGGGCAAGTCCTGCCGGGGCTTGTACCGCGGACAGGCACGATGCTGGTTGAGGCCTACAAGTGCTGCTACCGAGTCGACCGGCGGCGCTGGTGCTCGAAGTGTTGATTGCTGGCGAGGGGCTCAAGGCGTTCTTTGCAGACGGGGCGGCTGGCGGGTGGAAGGGGCGCTGAGCGCTGAGCTAGGACTGATGGGGATGTGAGCCTGTTTGCGTACGAGCTGGCGTGTAGGCTAGAATGTGAGATCTCGATTGGCGGTTGAAGCTGACGGCGTTGGGTAGGGAGACAGAGAAGGCGGTCTACGTGGAGTCGGTCGCCGGCGTGGAGCATGGAGCCGTTGCTGGATGAGGAGGCTGGACGGGAGCAGCAGCGTTTCGCGCGAGACCTAGGGTTTTTTACCGCGTCAGGAGCATTCGTGCAGCAGCCGGCATGGTCGTTAGTCTCGTGCGTATTGGTTTTTTTAGCAACGTCCGCCGTGGATAACACGAGTTGTTTCGGATTCGGGTCGGCTTCGGCTTCCAGCGTTTCAAGTCAGCCTATGCGTGTCGCCGCTCGTTCGGGGTACCCGCTGCGTTGATTCCGCGTAGCTTTTCACGTTCCCCGCGATTCTTACGTTTCTTGCGGCCAGCCATTGCTGGGACCGTGGCTCAGTCGATGGTTTTGGAAGTGGAGGTCGGATCCCGATTTTGGTTCCAGGCACCTTATAACACGACAAGGTCTCGGAGAATTAGCTTTCCGTTTCAAGTAGATTTTATGTGCTTCCTACTTCAACGGTTTCAAGCCAATGTCCGTGTAATTCGCGAATCAGATCTGAGTGTGGTGCTGCCGTCACCCACCCATCCATCGGGAGCCTGTTGTTATGCCTTTCGCCCTCTATCCTCACCTCCTTGTGTCTCACCTCCCTCCTACCCCACACGCAGGTACTTCCTGAGCCAGCTGCGTAGAGTGAAGAAGGCCCACGGTCAAGTGCTAGCGATCAATGAGGTGCGTCGAGCTATAAGTGAGGTGGTCGAGCGATCAGGTATTTAGAGGGGTGCGGTCATGCAAGCTGAGAGATGTAGCGAGCTAAGCGATGGCCTGTCAGGTCCTGTTGGCTTTAACCATGGTAGTTTTCGGAATGAGACAACTGGGGGGGGTGATCCGGTAGCAAGGTCTGGTTGATGCTGCTGGCGGAACGGGCTGGAGGCAGGACGGGTGTAAACGAGGTGTAGGCGAGGGGGAGGAGAAGCACGCTATCAGTAACGCGCATGAGCAGCTGGGACGAAGGGTCTATGACACGCGTCGAAGGTCGTTGATAGGCGCGGATTCGCTGTATTCCTTACACTTTTCGAGAACCGGTAGGCGAACCGACTGGTTGCGACTAGTCAGACCTCCACCCAGCAGCAGACACCAGAAGCGGCAGTGTCTTAGGCGCCGAGAGGAGGGCCGTGGCCGTGCGGGAGAGTTGTTTTGAGGCGCGTCAGAATGACCGTGGCCGAGCGGGAGAGTCTTGGGGATGACGAACCATTCAAGATGACGAGTCGGAGCCGCGAGGCCGTGAAGACGAACACGAGGCATTTGTCTGAAAGACTCTCGCTCGCGAGTCGCAGTCCGTGCTCCGCGCTACGCGCTTCTAGGAAGCTTCAAGAGATAACTTCGAACCAGGACTGATCGCTTCGGGAACCGGGGGCTGAGGTGTTTTTTTCTTCTTTTTTGCGATGGTATTCTCAACGCGTTCTTAGGTGAAGGGAGGTGGATGTCTTGATGATGACGAAACTTTCAAGATGACGAGTCGTAGCCGACAGGCCCTGACGACAAACACGAGGCATTTGTCTGAAAGATACCCCTTCTTCGCTTCATAAATTCGACTGATTGTAGCAAGGTACTGTGTTGAGGTGCTATACCGGGAGCTCAGCTGTCTTGATGATGACGACACTACAGATGACGAGTCGTAGCCGATAGGCACTGACGACAAACACGAGGCATTTGTCTGAAAGACAGCGGGTTTTCTTATCCTCCCTGTTCATGGGTATTCCATCTTTGTTCTTTATCCATCTCTCTTCTATTCATTGTCCCTCCTGTTAGCACGGGTTTTGTGGTATTCCTTCAGAAGGTGTAGGGAGCTCGAATTGGTGGAGGTCTTGATGATGACGACACAATTAAGATGACGAGTCGTAGCCAATAAGCCCTGACGACAAACACGAGGCATTTGTCTGAAAGATACCCCTTCTTCGCTTCATAAATTCGACTGATTGTAGCAAGGTACTGTGTTGAGGTGCTATACCGGGAGCTCAGCTGTCTTGATGATGACGACACTACAGATGACGAGTCGTAGCCGATAGGCACTGACGACAAACACGAGGCATTTGTCTGAAAGACAGCGGGTTTTCTTATCCTCCCTGTTCATGGGTATTCCATCTTTGTTCTTTATCCATCTCTCTTCTATTCATTGTCCCTCCTGTTAGCACGGGTTTTGTGGTATTCCTTCAGAAGGTGTAGGGAGCTCGAATTGGTGGAGGTCTTGATGATGACGACACAATTAAGATGACGAGTCGTAGCCAATAAGCCCTGACGACAAACACGAGGCATTTGTCTGAGAGACTCCCAGGTGTTTTACTTTTCAGTCTTCAGAAAAACCCCTTTTACACCGTCCCGTTGTACGAGGGTAAACGTGTTGTAGTAAGAGGGTACACGTGTTGTAAAAGGTATTGTTGTAGCAAGAGCGTATGGATGTCTTGATGATGACGACACTACATAGATGACGAGTCGTAGCCAACGAGCTCTGACGACAAACACGAGGCATTTGTCTGAACGATATCCATTCCAGCTTATCACCGTCACTCGCCAATGAAGTTAAAAGCCGTTTTGTTCTTATTTTTTCTGATTTCCTCTTTTATCCTCTCTTTGCACCAAGGTATACTACGGTAGGGGTACTGTAGTTGGTACTGTAGCAACCTAGATTAGCAGGAGCTACGGATGTCTTGATGATGACGAAACTTACAAGATGACGAGTCGTAGCCTACAGGCTCTGACGACAAACACGAGGCATTTGTCTGAAAGATACCGGATCCTTCGTTTATCCGTCCTTCATGTTCCGAATGTTTTACATGTTAAATTGATGTCCCCCCCCCCTGCTCCCCCCGTCCTTCTCCCACCCAGCCGTCCCTCCTCCCTGCATGTGATCTTCCCTACTATTGGATCCACACGCTCCATGCTACCGCTCACCCCCTTGTCTTACTCTCACCGTCCCACCATCCCCTCCTCCATCCTCCCTCTCCCTCCATGCTACTCCATCCTCCATCCCTCTATGCTACCCCTCACCCCCTTCTCCATCCTCCTCCCCCCCCCCCCCCCCCCTTCAGATCTTTGAGAAGAACCCGACGGTGGTAAAGAACTATGGCATGTGGGTGCGGTACCAGAGCCGCACGGGGTACCACAACATGTACAAGGAGTACCGCGACACCACGCTCAACGGCGCCGTGCAGCAGATGTACGACGAGATGGCGTCCCGCCACCGCGTGCGCTTCCACGGCATCCAGGTCGGTTTGATAGCTTACAAGCAAATTACTTCGTCGCAAATGATATGCTGGTAGATGGGGTGGGGTGGAGGGGTGCTGATAGGATGTGCACCAATTTGTACGCCTGTCGTTTCTCAACTGCTCAATGCCCACTGTGTCCAGTCCCTCCTTTCCTCTCACTGCTCCCTATTTCCTCTCCCTGCCCTGCCCATTTGCTCACTGCTCAGATCATCAAGACAGCGCTGGTGCCGGACGACAAGGTGAAGCGCGTCAACACCCTGCAGTTCATCGGCGACAAGATCCGCTTCCCCCTGCCCAACCGCTCCGTGCGTGCCTCGTCCCGCAGCCTCAAGACCACCTACAAGGCCTCGCGCCCCAACACATTTGTGTAAACGTGCTCGAATCTGGCGTATACATTGGATGTGTGGGGTGGGGTGGTGCTTACAAGGGTTGAGATGAGGGAGGAGGGGTATCAGTGCTCTTTGTGCTGTATTGTCTGTGCCCTTATTCTCTCATGTATGTGGCCCAGTAGTGCAACGGATGTCATTCTCTCCCGTCGTTAGCCATTAGTCCCGTTACTTACCCTGCATGGTAGCACGTAATAGCGGAAGCAACAATTTAATTCCAAACGAAGGCCTAGTACTCTACAAGTCTGTTTTGTAACGTTGACACTGTCAACTTGACAGCTCACAGAAATTCTAGATATTTGCACAGTTTTTATTTCTGAATCCTGATAACCACAGTCGAATTGTCTCGAGGAGCTTTGTAGCAGATGAACATTTCTGGAGTCAGAACTCCTTACCCGAGCGAGAAAGATTCTCAGTGGTTTCCCTTCCCACCTCAAAGCACCCCACCCTCGCCGCCTCCGCAGCACGTGAGTTACCAGCGACCGTCGTGAACCAGTTGCAAAAGAGCTCAAGATTTCGCGATCGGTTTCGTGACCTCGCCAGGGGGGTTCGGCGTGTCTCGAGCGGTCCTGCGTTCCGCCTCGTGCTTCTCTATCAACGCTTGCTTCGGTTGAGCGGAACGGCTCCAGCCAATGCCTGAAAGGCAATGCAGTACGAGAGCACTGCCAGAGGGGAATGTGACCATTTGACTTCTACCCTGTCTCCAGGCAGCAGGAAGCCCACCAGTCAGCCCGTAATTGCAAGAAAGCTCACCCCTTGCTATTACTCACAACGTCCTGCATGCCATTCTGTACGAGTTAACGACGCGCTATAGTGGCAGGCAGGTTTATTTGTTTGCGCTAGCTAGTTTCGGCTTTAATAACTCCTCTATTTTCTACAGTCGAATTCGCAGGATGTCTCGTGCTCTGTTAGATCGCCTGTCGGACGACCTCATCTGCGTCATCTTCCGTCGGCTAAGCCAGCAGTTACCCAGCAGCTTCAATCACGCCTTGGTCTGCAAACGATGGAATCGCCTTGCTTGTCTTTCGCAAACGTCCATCGCGAACAGTTCTCGTAGGCTCGCTGCAGACGTTAGCCTTCTCTGATGTCTTTCTCAATTCAAGAATCTGACGTTTCTAAAGATGGACGGGTACGAGATAGGTGCCGATGGCGAATTCTTTCTCGGCCTTGGCTCCGTCTGTCCGCGAGCTGAGCAACTCGGATGATAGGGGGTTGACATGTCATGGATTGGATGCGATCTTCACTGCCTGCACCGGACTGCAGTGTCTCTCCTTATTCATGCAAGGAGACTCGAGGTCGATACAAGATTGACAGACAGAGGTGGGGATGGGGAGGTGGTGAAGCTGACAGATTCATTCTTCTTGCGCTGCGACGCAAGTATGTGCAGCTTCGTGGTAAGTTTCTTCTGTGGGCTTTCTCTTCTTGACTGCTTACCTCACTTCGTGCCGTTGCCCTGTTTATTGACCGTGCCCGTGCCTAGTTTCTTGATGTGTAATCTTTTGTCCTTCATCCTCGTATCTTTTGTACCCTCTACCCTCTTACCCGCTGTTTCATTACCTCTCTGGCACATTCCATTGGCACGGTGTGACCCGACTGATGTTTATCTTGCATGCACTAATTCGCACTTCTGTTTGTTCTCGCCAGTTGTTGCTGCAAGCAAGTCACCGTAATCATCTCTCTCGACTTCCTCCTCCTCCCCTCCCCCTTCCCCCACCCCCTCTCCACCCGTCCAACAGGCAAACAGCCGAAAGCAACTGGAGCAATCAAGGAAACGTGTCCATCCTGACTAAGGACGAGTTTCTCAGCTCCACAGGCAAGAAATCGCCTTGGATTCTGGTTGGCAATCCTGATGCCAGTAAGAAGGGCAGGGCCTTAACAGGAGCAGCAGGAGCGTGATGGTCTGCACCTTCAGCTCCAGCAGTGCGAACAGTACCACCTGCAGATCTGCTGTGCAGATCCCTGCAATAACTGCTGCCAGCACCGAGGAATCAGTTAAGAAGAATGAAAGCAAATACCAGGCCTCACAAAAAAAGCCGTACGATACTGCAGCAGTCAGTTCTCAAGAATCAGCAAGAAACGGCACGAGCAGGCAGCAAGGTGCTCAAGACCATGCTGTTGCCTGCCGTGCTGGGAGGATCCATGAGGATGAGCTCCAACCCAAGCAGCTCAGCCGCCGTTCTCCTGCTGGGCTCTCCCCTCTGAGGAAATCGTCTGTTGCTGTTGTCCCTGTTGACGATGCTTCTGCTGCAAGTGCTTCAGCTAATTCCGAGAAAAAAAGTATGAAGGTTGGAGGAAAGAGGCGGATGACAAGGTGGGTGAGTAGAGTCTGGTCGAGCATAGCGCTGAATAAGTGGCATACTGGCAACTAAGGTAAAGCTGGTGGGGGTGCTGTGGGATGTTGATGGTAGGGGTTCACCCCCTTTTTTCCATCCTGCCTGTCAGGATGTTGTGGGAAAGATGGAAAGAATGGCGGACAGGAAAGTTGGAAATGGGATTGAATGCTACTCTGGTCTGGCGCTAGTCTGGTTTAGGCTGTAGGTGTAATGTCAATCATGTATTCACTGTATGAACGTCGTATCTTTGTTACCATGGAATCAATGAATGGCTGAGGGGATTGTGAAGGGATAGGAGTGACCGCAGATGTCAAGTGGTCAGGCCCTCAGATTGGTTTCAGAGAGGCTGATTGCTCAGGGTCGCCCATGTGAGAGCCCATGTTTTACAGGGTCGGGTTTTGGGCGTGGCATGTTTTTTTAGGCCAATATCAGAAAGAAAATGATTGAACTAGAATGTGTGTGTACAAGGATATATAGACTAGAGTGTTGTACCCTCTAAGGCACAATCCAGTATAGTCTATAGTAACAACCTAAGTTACATTTGACACACCCCCTAGACTATATAGGGGCAGTGCCTAACAAGGGAAGAAGCAGCTCAGGGCGGCACTACTAGTCCAGCCTCTGAGACAAGGGTCTAAAGACCAGTCAAAAGGAGTACAGACAAGACAAGAGCAAGCCCAGGGCGGCACTACTAGTCCAGCCACTGGGAGAGACCACAAGGCCAGTCTGGGTAAAATATATATATAAAGGACAGTACAAAGTCAAGGCCCTAGCAAGTGAGAGGCTACAGGAATGAGACCCAGCTGTACACAGTGCCGCTGATGATCTTTAGGCGCAAGCGCCTTCGTAAAGATATCAGCTGTGTTGGCACCGGAGGCCAAGTGTACTACGCGCGCCTGGCGACGCTGTTGCAACTCACGCAGGAGGAAGTACCGCAGCTGAATGTGCTTCGCTCTGCCCTCGAGTCGAGGCTCCTGACACAGAAGGATCATGATCCTGTTGTCAGCGTACAGGACCGGGGCAGAGCTAGGCTGCTCACCTAAGTCAGTGAGCAAGAAGGTCAGCCAGCGGAGCTCCTGTGCCGCCATCGCACCGGCGTAGATCTCGGCCTCACAGTTGGACTGGGCAACAGACGAGGAGCGGGTAGCTCTCCACGAGACGGCACCTGAACCAAGGCTGAAGCAGTAGCCCTATGAGGACCTGGGGGTCTCGGTGTCGTCTGCCCAAGAAGCGTCTGTGTGTCCAGTAAGGACCACTGGCCTACGTCCTCCTAGCACTAACCCCATGCCCGATGTACTTGCAAGATAACGCAAAACCCTCTTAGCGGCAGACCAATGCTGAGGTCGGTGTCTGCCTGTAGCCACAAAGCGAGCCAGGATGCTGAGAGGGTATGCGAGATCTGGGCGAGTGCAAGTCATCAGGTACATGAGGCAACCCACCAGCTCTGCGTAAGGACCACTGGGCTCTGCTGACTTCTCAGGAACTGGAGCGGAGAGCCTGTGGTCTAGAGGCAAGGGAATAGGCTGTGCGGAGGAGAACTGAAGGCCGAACCTCTGAAGGACCTGGCGCACCAAGTGTGACTGAGTCAAAGTGATGGTGCGGGCTGCTCTGTCCCTGGAGATCTGCAAGCCAAGGTAGTGGCGCAGTTCTCCAAGGTCAGTGCAGGTGTGTCTCTTCAGCAGCTCTGCCTTCACGGAGGCCAGTGCGTCTCTGTCTGCCGTGGCGAAGACCAGGTCGTCTACGTAAACAAGGATGTAGAACGGAGTCTGGCCAGCACGAACCAAGAGCGAGGGGTCTACAGAGGACGGAAAGAACTACAGGTCAGCAAGCGTAGCACGCAGCGTGTCGTGCCACTCACGGGGAGCTTGCCGCAGGCCGTAGACGAGGCGCCGGAGGAGCCATTGGGTCCCAGGAGGGAAGGTACCAGTGAAGCCCTGAGGGCGACGCAGGTAGACCTGCTCGTGTAGACTGCCCTGAAGAAACGCAGTGGAGAAGTCGAGAGAGTGAAGCTCGTAGTCACGCTGAGCAGCTAGGTGTAGTAGCACCCGAAGAGTAGTCATCTTCGGGGTCGGAGCGAAGGTCTGGAAGAAGTCCACCCCCTCACGCTGACTAAAACCTCTAGCCACGTAGCGCACCTTGAACACAGGCGGCTCTCCAGGAGGGCGCTTCACCTTGAAGAGCCAGCGGCCATCAACTACGTTCACCCCAGGTGGGGGAACTGCGTCGACGTAGGTGCTGGTGGATCTCCAAGATGCCATCTCCTGCTCCATGGCAGCTATCCACTGAGAGGCCTAGGGTCCCAAGGTCGCCTCAGCGTAAGTGCGAGGGGTCGGGATGTCGAAAGCGTCGGGGTCACCCTCAGGGACTAGAAGCATGGAACAGAGATGGGGAGCAGCCTCGGACAGGAAAGCAAGCTCGTACTGCCGGTCCTCCAGGACGTTACTGCCAAGGGCAGGAGCACCCCCGACAGACGGAGGACAGGCAGGGTCAGAGACCAGAGCGGTGGCGTAGTCAAGGCGGCGGGTAGAGGCGAAGTCAGCGACCGCAGCGACAAGGGCGTCAAGGCTCGAAACCGGAACATACGGGTCGGTAACGAGAGAGGCTAGGACCCGAGGAACAAGAGGACGAGCGGCACGCAGGTAGTCAGACAGAGGGGGGGGAGCAACGACAAGGGAGGACGGAGGGGGCGACGGGAGAAGGGGAGGACGAGACGTGTGGGAACGAAGCAACATAGGGTGAGAGCGTGAGACAGGGGAGCAGGGTCGAGCACGGGAGGGACGGCGAGACCAGACGTGAGATGGGGGAGTCAGGTCAGGAGATAGAGGAGGGGACACAGGAGGGGAACGAGGGGGGAAACGGGCCGGAGTCGCGTCCGGAGAAGGGAATACAAGGCTGGAGACAGGAGGAGGAGAAGGCACGGGCACGGGGTCAGGGGACGGAAGGCCGAGCAGGCGAAGAGTGGATACCGGCGGGGACTGCTGTGACGGCGGTGTGACGCCGACACCAGGACCTCCAGAACACTCCACACCAGCACCCCCTGAAGAAACACCCCCTAAGCTCAGAACCCCTCGAGCACCGGTACCACCCACAGGCCCGCCGGGACAAGCCACGACAGGAGTCCCAGGACTAGTACCCACCCCAACTCCAGCACCCCCAGAGGCAACCAACTGCTGCGGCGACGGATGCGGCGGCGGCGGTCGCAACGACGGCTGCGGTGATAGCGGCGGCGGTCGCAACGACGGCTGCGGTGACAGCGGCGGCGGTGATGACGGCTGCAACAGCGGTGACGACTGCGGCTGCGGAGGCGGCGGAGGAGGGGACACCTGAGAAGGGGCACGCGGCGAGGACTGCGCCGCAGGACTACCAGAGTCAGTAGACTCCTCAACCGGTACAACCGACGTAAGTGGGGTGACGTGGGACACACCAGAGGGGGCAAGACGGGGAGGGGGAGGAGGAGGGGCGGCTAGGGATGAGCGCGAACGGCCAGGGGGCCGGCTAGGGGCGGGCGCGAACGACCAGGGGGGCCGGCTAGGGACGAGCTCGATGGCCAGGGGGCCGGCTAGGAACGTAGGGGCGGAAGCGTAAGCGGGCTAGGGGGGTATATAACCTACTAGTATACCATATCAGAAAGAAAATGATTGAACTAGAATGTGTGTGTACAAGGATATATAGACTAGAATGTTATACCCTATAAGGCACAATCCAGTATAGTCCACAGTAACAACCTAAGTTACATTTGACAGCCAATTTTTTTTTTTAGTCTGACTTATCAGACCTACATTTTTGTAGTTTCTGATTCTTAGGTCGGATCGGACTTCACTGCGTACAATTCTTCTCGTCAGATTCCTGCATGATTTTAACGAAGGACCAATCAACCCCCTCACACCTCCTCCAGCTCGCCTCGAACTTGCGTGATTCTGGTCAAGGACCAATCACGCCCCCCACACCTGTTCGAGCTCGCCTTGAAGTTTCGTGATTGTGGCCAAGGACCAATCACGCCCCTCACACCTGCTCTAGCTCGCCTCGAACTTGCGTCATTTTTTGTCAAGGACCAATCACGCCCCTCACACCTGCCCCACCTTGCCTCGAACTTGCGTGATTCTGGTCAAGGACCGGTTATGCCCCTCACACGTGCTCTAGCTCACCTTGGCAGATAAGATTCAGATTCAGGGCGAATTTCGAGTAAGGCTGATTTGTCAAGCTCGGTAAAACAAGAACATACTATTTTTCAGACCTTAGAAAATGGGAACACATAAATTTCAGGTTTGACAAAAATCAAAACCTGAAAAATCAGGGTATGCCCTAGAAAACACCTTGATATACAGGCTTTCAGGCCTTTTTGGCCTGACTTCTGAGGCACTGCAAGTGGTCATGATTGACTCAATGAAATATTCTGCATGAACTCAGAATCAGAGAGCAGCCCAGCAAGCAGGAGGAAAGCATAATGGAAGTGGTAACAAACAGACTGCAGAGAAGGACAATGAAAAGCAGCGTGAATAAACCAGACAGATATTGACGTAGGCATCTTGTTTGATGCAGACATCTGGACTGTATGGTAATGTCAATAATGTATTCCCTGTGTAAATATTGCTTTATATTTTCTCATCAGTAAATGAGTGGACGGGGCCTGGAAATTGGTGCGTGGGGGATGTTTGGCTGAGGGAATGAGCTGGGATAGGCGTGGTGGCTGATGTTCAGTTAACACTGGTCACGCTCAGGCAGAGGGTTGAACCAGGTAGAAAAAAATATATTTGTTAGCATGGAGTCTAGAACGTGAAAGAAGGAATGCATGCAGGAGTACCCTTAACCTTAAGCTCTCGGGGTTAAAAGGCTAGCTTAGCTAGGAAGCTAGGAAAGGCATGAGGTTTAGCTAGGAGGAGCCATGGAGTGGCGTGAGGTTTAGGAAGGAGAAAAGTTGAGGAGAGAAAAAGGGAGTTGGAATAGAAAGAGAGAGGCATACAAGGAGGGGATTGTACCCTCTACAGTAAAGTTCGGTAACCTATCAAGCCTAACAATTATATAACTCAATATATAATTTTAACACGCCCCCTAGGCTTGGTAGTCACACGCCCACACACACCCCCACACCCCCTAACCTAGCACCCCCATTCCCATCAGCCACAACGACTCCAACAGGGCCCACAAGGCCTTGGAGATGGCGACGGCGGCAGTCCCGGCCGCGGCGACAGCGACGACGACGACGGGCGTGCGGCGGCAAAAAGCCTGCGGTGACGACAGCGGCGATGGCGACGGCTTCGGCTTACGACGGCGGTGAGTGCAGCGGCCCCCGCCCTTCCGGCGGCGTGTCCAAACTCCGCGACAGGGGGACGACTGGCGAGAGTCAGGCGGCGGCTGTGGCGAAGAGGAGGGGACAGAGGAACGGGGGAAGGGGCGGGGCTTCGGATCTTCAGCGCGGCGCCACAGGCGTCGCGCGGCCGGCTGGCGTGCGGGTGGGCAGTTTAGCGGCGCCACAGGCGTCGCGCGGCCGGTTGCAGCCCGACGCCGCCGTCACAGAGCGGCGTCGACGCTGCTGCGGGACGTCGACGCTACGACGGCAGCACGGCGGCCTGACGCCACGGCAGCGCGTCGAGACGGCAGCGGCACGACGCGGCCAGCGGCATCACGACGCCGCCACTGCAGCACAACGCGGCCGCCATGGCCACGCGAGCGAACGAGGGCAAGGAGTACGCGGCAGAAGCGTGAGGAGGCGGTCCAGTAGGGAGGAACTCCTGCACTAGTACCATGTTAAAAGGCTAGCTTAGCTAGGAAGCTAGGAAAGGCATGAGGTTTAGCTAGGAGGAGCCATAGAGTGGCGTGAGGTTTAGGAAGGAGAAAAGTTGAGGAGAGAAAAGGGAGTTGGAATAGAAAGAGAAAGGCATACAAGGAGGGGATTGTACCCTCTACAGTAAAGTTCGGTAACCTACCAAGCCTAACAATTATATAACTCAATATTATAATTTTAACACTCAGTAGGAATTGATAGCAATCAGAAAGCTGAAGAGAAATAGTGAAATCAGAGGGAAAGTATACGACACACTTATTGGTGTACACATCATGTTTGAGACGCTGGTGTATGATTTCGAGGTGACAACCCCAGAGTCTGAAAACGAGGAAGACATGCAGATGAGACACCGAAGCTCATGGACATGTGGTGGAGAGACCATTGATGCACTCCCATGACCTGCATAACGATTTTAAGAGCACCTTGAAGTATGAAGTTGCAGATGCACTCCTCAAGACCTGCACGGGGTTAGAGTATCTCTCCCTCGCCATGTTCACAGGATACCATGGAGATTTTACTTGCGACGTGCTGTCATCCTACTTCAATTTATCATCCTTGACGGAGGCCAATCTGCACGTGGACTTCGAAGGCTTGCCTAATAAATTCGGCAAGCTTAGTTCCCTGACTAAGCTGACACTCAATGCTCTGGATATCGAAGACCTCCTGGACTCAATTGGCAAGCTTACCGGACTGACCGAGATGCAACTGTCGAAATTTCCAGGTCCTCGGAACTCTGCCTGACTCCTTCGGTGGCCTTTAGTCACTGGTCAAGCTCAGCATTTGAAGGACGGATACGCTGAACGCTCTTCCTGCCACCATCGGCCAGCTTCCAAGGCTCCAAGAGTTCCTACTTGACTGCAACATCTTCCTCGTCCAACTCCCAGATTCCTTCTTTCAGCTCACAGCTCTGCGAGTTCTAAAGCTCGTGAATTGTGACCTATTTGAAGGCCTCCCAAACGCAGTGTCTGGCCTCGTTTCCCAGAGATGCTAACCATCAAGTATTGCGGTAGTTTCATTTTGCTTTCAGACTCCCTCTGTGATCTTCCTAACCCCCGTGTCTTGATTGTTAAGCGTTGCACAGAGCTCAGTGACTTTCCACAGAGAATGGACCGCATGTCGTCGCTGGAGCATCTGGAGCTGTGCCAGCTCAGCAGCCTTACTCACCTTCCTGATACAATGTCCAGGCTCTCCAATCTCCGAACCTTCTCCTTCAACTACTGCGACAGCATATCCAGAGTCCCTCCATCCCTGTTTCAGCATTGGAGCAACCTGACGACCCTCGAGTTCGGTTGGCCAGTCAGCTGCATGTTCTTTAACGGGGATGAAGAAGCAAGACTTGTTGTCGACACCTTCATGTCATCTCTCTGCCAGCTCGCGAACCTCTCCTCGCTCCGCTTGTTCGGCATTACCCGCCTAACAACTCTTCCTGACGAGATTGAAAACCTTTCACGGCTGCAGCGGCTGACTCTGATTTTCTGTCCTGATCTGAAGTTTTTGGCCGAGTCCATGACCAGCCTCACCAGCCTCAAGATTTGAGGATCAAGACAAACTTTATCCCGAGATTCCCAACCTGGACAGTGTATGTGTGGATGATAAACCACTGGGAACATAAAAATTTGGTGGGAATGGCTCGGTTAGGATGGGATTGTGGGAGGGTGCTTGTTGGAATCTCTCGTCCTAAGGTCTATGCAATGTTTTTTTATGAGATGATGCGAGGGAGGTACCGGTAAACATTGACATTGACCTGCTCAGATAATTTCGCAGGTGATTGCACCACCGGAGATATATGGGTGACCTCTTGGGCCATAACTCGCATTGCTGTTGTTGTTCACATGATTGGCTTCAGTGGAATTGGATGTGGTATAGTGTACTCTTGCAAGGAGCTGGTACAGAGGGCTATGTTCGAATGCGAGCTAACAAGTAATGAAGAAGGCTGCCATGAAATGGCGGCCGGGGTTTAGCTAGGGAAGAAGAAAAGTGTCGAGAGAGAAGAGGCGTAGACTAGAAGAGAATGAAGTACAAGAAGGGGGTTGTCCCCCCTACAGTAGGATGCAGTTAATAGCATAACTACCAAGCCTAAACTTATATAAAATATAATTTTAGCACACCCCCTAGGCTTGGTAGTGGCACGCCCACCCAACCCACACACACACCCCCTAACCCCGGACACCCTCATTCTCGTGAGCAGCCGGGTATCGACCCCTCGTGCTAGGCGATGACACCCCCGGACGCAGGGCTTCAGAAGTCAGGACAAAATGCCCTGAAATGCTGTATATCAGGGTGTTTTTTTAGGGTCGTCCTGTTTTTTCAGCTTTTGATTTTCCCTTGGCCTGAATTTTAGGGGTTCTCATTTGAGCAGGCCTGAATTTTAGTATGTTCTTGTTTTGGTCACCCTGAATTATTAGCCTTAACGGATTTTCAGCCTGAAACAAAGTCTTTTCGGTAACCCCCCCCCCCCCCCCCCCGACAATCGCGGCTGGAATGGGGTGTGTTATGGAGCACGTGTGAGGGGCGTAATTGGTCCTTTACCAAAAACACATCCCTCGTCAAAGAGCACGTGAGAGGAGGCTGGTGATTGGTCCTTAGTCAAAATTACAAGCAGCTTCGTGGAGCAGAGGGTGTGCTGGAACAGCTGTTAGGAGCAGGATTGGTCTAGGGCGAAGTCAGGGGTTTACCAACCAATCGGGGGTCGTGTCGTGCTACTACTGGGCACCCGCTACCTGCCAGGCCGACGACGATGCACCCATCTTTCGATCAAGCTGGCATGCACGCTGCCACACTGTATCGCGTGGTGCGTGCGACCACCACTCAACCCCTCGTCGTCCCAGTCGAGCATGCTCCTCCTGGTACATCGCTTTCTTGCGGGGCGGGCAAACGTAGTAAAAGGCTTGTAGCTCACTCATTTTTTTCGCCCCACCTTCGCTAGCTGCTCTGTGACGTCTCTCTTCACCACCTGCTCGACTATCTCTCACTCACCATCTCATGCCATGAGCGACGATGAGGGATGGCAGGTGCAAGGCTCAAAACGGCGCAGCAGCAAGGAGGCCGCAGGGCAAGCCAGTGCCCTGCCTGTAACACAGTCAGCGCTGGATGTTCTTGTGCGTCTTGCAAGGCAGGGCGCCGTGTGGAGTGTCGCCGATACTCGTATCGACCCTTTCCCTCCCCTGCCTAGCAGTCCGCAGCGTAGATCTGCTGTTGCGTCTACTACGCCTCAGAGCCCCGCGATTAACACTGGCCGCGCGTCACCCGTCGTGCGCAGTCCTGCACGCGAGTCTATGCGCTCTTCTCCTCGCATATCCAGCCCGCCGATGGTGGCTTCAGTCTCCTCCATCGCAAAAAGTGCAACGTTAGCGGATCGTTTACGCCATTCGAAGCTGGCCGCATAGTCGGAAATCGTCCGCCAGGTGTTCGCCAAGTGTTTTTTTCCTGTTTCGTTTAACGTAAATGGTTTGCGAGTCTTCCGCGAATGAGTTGTTTCGCGAATGAGTTGTTTTGTAAATGTTACACCTTGATAATAATCTTGTTCTGATGGCTTATATTTCCATACAGAATCGGTCAGTCTACACTAAAACTTGTACAAAGTTTATAACATCGATCCGGGGAAGCTGAAATGTTAAAATAAACGAATTGTGTGTTTATGATATTTTTATGATAGTAAACGTACTACTACTTCTAATTTGGGCAATGTCTTTGTAGAAACAGCAAGTGCAAAGTAAGGTATTGATCTCTTCAAGAGATAGTTTTATTTTGTTCCCCTCAAGATTCGAACTCGGATCTTCCAACTGTGCTACGTGCAAAAATTACTCAAAAACGAGGTTCTCCCAGGGATCGAACCCGACTCTTCACATGTGTAGATTATGACTTACTATCTGCAGTGCGTATCTACTTTATATTTAAATGTTTTAAAATGTAATATTTAAAATTGGTTTTGTTGCTGGTTTCACTACCCTGCTTCCAACTGCTTATAAGGTCGTAGTCCAACAGAATCGCGGTTCCAATCCAGCTAGACAAAATTTTGAGATACCGAACTGAACCAAATTGAATCGCAAATTACAGCGTATTCTAGCGCGCGCGTAACCTGAAATCCAGAAATATTTGCTTAATATTTGTGTACATGGAAACACGCCCCGATTCACAACATGACGTGCATATAGAAACACGCCCCAACCACACTCCCACCCCCTACCATACCTGCACTTTGTTCCAACCAATCCCAACCCAATTTCCCTAACCAACTCAGCCCATGCACCTCGCCCAACCAATCGAAATCGGCCGAGCGATTCCAGCACGGCTAAATCCAGCTCAACCCCCTGCTCGCCCCAACCACCCAGCCCACCACGTTGCACACTTCACATGCCAGCAATCCTTGCCAGCACAGACTTCTGATCCTTCCTTATCTGCCCCCTTGCGCCCACTGATGTCTTTCAGCTAGACTTTTCTTACAGTATTATTCATCGGCAGTTCAATCTGTATCAGTTTCAGCCCCCCCTCTTGCCTTCGCACCCCCTTAGTGATTAGCTTCTTCCTCTGCCAGACTTTAACCAGTTACCATGGTCGTTCTTGGTTTACGATAACATGAGTATGTCATTTCGCGATAGCTGTTATTTCTATCGTTTTAATCTTCTGGTACTAATTAGCTTGTAAGTGGCTATTGTTGTTCACAATTGTCCTTCTTATTGGCAGGTTCATGAGCTAATACGTCTTCGGGGTTGAAGGCATTTGTTAACTGGAGTTTCTATCTAACTATGTTTTGCCTGTGTGCTCACGATGCTCGTCTTTATCGCAGCTAGCCATGTAACTCAGTCCAGCATAAAGATTATTCTTCCGGTAAGCACGTCTCTTAGTCTCGCCAATCGTTTATTCGTCGGACTAATTTCACGACAATGTCTAAGCTGACGTGCAGAGATTTGTAGCCAACCTCGAGGCACCCCTCGTAAGCCTCGTGTTGAAAGTCTGGTTGTTTGGAATTTAACAAATGGTTGAACCTGATGCGCAGGAATTTATTACCAAGGCCGCGCTACTTTCCCAGAGTAAGAATTGTTATTATGTTGGTAATTTGGACATTGGGCTTACTTTGAAATGAATTCTTACTTCACATGCAGGAATAGCAAGTCGGCGTCAAGAATTTACGTTGTCGGCAACGTCGTTGGTGTGCCGCCGCTCTGTTTCTGTTCGTGGTAGTGCGGGACGGGCATGCTGCATACGTTATTAGGTTGTTGGGGGCTTGCATATTTCTAGGTAATTAGGTTGGTAACCACTGGTAGAAATTGTGTATATCGTTTGTAATGGTGGTACATTTACTTTTATGAATAACATCATTTGATACACCAATGGTCAACAGAACAAAAAGAATGGATGGCAAGAATGCAAAATTATTTTCATACAAATCCAAAGCAGCATCAAAATATGCATTGCAATGCATTTGACGAAACACTATATTGCATTCGAGACAACACCGCCCATCGTTTCCGAATGCTCGCGCGGAGTGTTTTGGCAAATGTTGTCCAAGCATTCGCAAAGTGTTCGAATCTTAGTCCGCACGGTATTTACACCCACTTGTTCGCAAAACGTTTGCAAAGCATCCGCACAGATAATTCGCGAACGTTTTGCGAGCACACCTTTTTTGCGATGTCTCCGTGCATTTGCATCCCTTCTGCCGAGGCTGCACGTGGGTTCACGCTTGTGCGCAGCCCTGCGCGTGACGACGCTGGCTCGTCGTCGCTGCCCCGCTCGCCGGCTCATGACGCTCCGCAATTCTCCCCGATCCCACGCAGCCCGTGCGGTGATGCTGGCCGTGTGTCGCCCCACCCTCGCAGCCCAGAAGGCGACGCAGGGCAGGCGGTCGGAGCGGCCGATGATGGCGGTAGTGGAGCAGATCGCGGTGCGCCTAATTCTCCTCCGAAACGAACGTACCGTCAAGCGTTGCTATCGTTTCGGCTTCCAACGACCGTCGACAAACATCCTGCCGCCATCACGTTTGCCACAGCTCGTGCCACCGTTCAATCACGGAGGCACAAGCCGTCACGTGCTCCACCGGTGGATGCAGCCTCTCCGGCAACGACAACACGGCATGCCGAGCAGTCGGCAGGCGGTGCTGCGTCAACTACGCCAACGAGTGCGACTCCAGTGGTCGGCCCTTCTACTGCGACACCACTGGAGTCGCGCATCCAGTCGTCAGCCACCGCTGATGAGGAATTTGGAGAGGCTGCAGACTTGTTGTATCTTCAAGCTCTGCAAAATTTCAAGTCAGACTGGCAAGAGCGGTTTCCAAGGTTGCTCCTATGTCGTACTAAAAATGGCCTTCCATCCCTGCGATGTAGTGTGTGTACAGATCATGGCGTCTTGGGCACCAAATATGGTCGAGATGGGGAGGGCGCAGTTGACGTGCAGACACAGGCTATGAAGAGGCATGGCCGGTCAACACGGCACAAGGCATGCATCAAGGCGAAGAGGAAGGCCATGGAAGACGCTCAGAAGCAGAAGAAGATATCAGACTTCCCACAGGCCCAAGATCTCGAGAAGGGACGACTCATCGCGATGCTGTGGGTCCTGCATTTCATCTGCCAGTGCGATGCGCCGATCAACACTTGGGTGAAGCTCGTCCGCTTCCTAGCGAAGCGGAAGTGCCCCGGCTTTCCAAAAAAGAGCTACGGAACCTACTACACCTCGTGAGTTTAGGACGTGAATGTTTTTGCCCGCTCCTCACTTATGCCTACGAATGCCTTGTCTCACGTGGTGAGCTCTACACCCCATGCAGGTACGGCTTCGCGCAACTGATGCTTCATGCTTCTCAGCTACGCCACATTCACGCGAGTCCCTTCATTGGGCTGAGTTGCGACGAGTCGACTGACCGCACTCGAGGGAAACACTTGATTCTGTTTGTAACATTTCTGCGTGATGGGCATGTTGTGACTGAGTTCAATGCCTTGCTAGCACTGGGACAGTGCGATGCAGCATCTATTCATGCTCTCATTCAGGAACATCTAGCCAAGATTGGCGTGCACCCCGACAAGATTGCCGGCATCAGCACGGATGGGGCTGCTGTCATGATGGGCTCCAACACTGGCCTCGTCACTCGCATGCGTGCCATGTCACCGTGGCTGGTGTCCTGCCACTGCATCACAGGTGAGCCACGGTGCATGTGTTTGCCTCTCACTTCCCGTTACCCGACCATGACTTCTGACGACTCTGGTGTCTGTACTCGCTGTGCCTCTCCAGCTACTGTCTGATCACAACGCTGATGCTTCTGCTGTTTCTGCTGTGTACGCAGGGAGGCCCTAGCTGCGAAGGATGCTGCAACCATCGTTCCAGAGCTACCAGTGATCGACAAGCTCATCCGGACCGTTGCTGAGTTGCTGGGTCGCTCTGGAAACTGGCACGCACGCTTCAAAAACCTCCAAGACGTCTTCACCCAGACGAACCTCGAGATGCAGGGTATTTTCAATATACGCTGGCTATCTCGAGGTGAGGCGATCGCCCGCCTCGTCGACGTGCTACCAGCTGTGGTCATTCTACTTCTTGAGTATGACCAGGAGATGTACAACATCGTAAAAAGCTACAAGTTTCACCTTTTCCTCTACTTTCTGGCTGACATGCTTGGCTTACTGAACAGCCTCAACAAAAAATTCCAAGCCCGCCAGGTTGGTTCCTTGCATGGTCCTATTATGTTTGTCTAATCGTGTGTCTCCCTGAGCTATCTGCCCAAGCCCTCTCCTACCACAGGTCGAGTTGACGGTCGTCCAGGGCCTTATTCGGAGGACCGTCGTCTACATCAAGCAGTGGTACGTCGAGTGCGGCAGCACCTTCGGGGGTGGCAACTCGCCACTCCTCACTGCATTCATCGAAGCGCACCGCACCAGCCGCACCGTCACCATTGAGGGATGCAAGTCCGACAGCACATCAATCGTGCACAAGTTTGACATGCACGACGAGCGCCCTGGCGAGGACCACGACGAGTGTAGCAGCATCTGCATGAGATTCGCCAAGGCGACCGAGCAGAACATTGTTGAGCGGCTGGGCGACCTGGAGAAGCTCAACGGGTGCAGGCTCTTCACCCCGGAAGCATGGCCGCCAGGGAGGAAGGAGCGGAACAGCCAGTGCATGGACTGGCTACAGAGCTTGTTCGACCTCTTCCGCGCAGCCGGGCGTCGGGAGGTTCTGCCAGGTAAGCCGTTGCTAACCGTGCATGAACCCAGCTGTAACCATGCATCATGCCTGCGTGTCATCCTTATCCCCATACTAACGGCCTGCATCTATACCACACATTCTCCTCCCCTTGCGCCCTGTGATTCTGTGCAGGTGTTAACAAGAGGGCGGCAACCAGGGAGCTGCAGACTCTCATCTCCCTATTAAAAGATGCTCCCGTGGGGGAGCAGAAGTTCTACGAGGGGCTGGCGGCGATGCTGAAGTCGGATGACTGGACAAAAGCCTTCCCGAACCTGGGCCGCCTCTGGGTCGCGGTCGCAGTGCTGCCACTATCTACGGTGGAGTGTGAGCGCGGCTTCAGTCGGCAGAACATCATCAAGAGCTGGTGCCGAGGCAGCCTAGGAAACGCCACGCTCGAAAGCCTCATGAGCATGGCGTTGCTCGACTACGAGCCTGATTGGGAGGAGGTGGTGAAGGTGTTTTGAGGGAAGAAGCGGAAGCAGTTCTCCACCCGCATCCACCCCCGAGGTCGGGTGAAGAGCTTGAAGGGGAAAGAAAAGGTGGTGGAGGGGCCAGGGGAGGAGTTGGATGAGGGGCCAGAGGAGGAGGTGGAAGAGGAGCTGGAGGAGGGGAACAAGGAGGGGAGAGGAGGGGGGGTTGGTGGAGGAGAGGTCGATGAGGATTTCTGGTATGCATCAGAGGGTGAGGAGGAGTGCAGCAGCGGCGGAAGTGAGTCAGAGGAAGACGAGGAGTAGCAGGTGGACCAGCAGCAGCAGCAGCAGCAGCAGCAGCAGCAGCAGCAGCAGCAGCAGCAGCAGCAGCAGCAGCAGCAGCAGCAGCAGCAGCAGCAGCAACAGCAGCAGCAGGAGCAGCGTCAGCTGCAACAACACCAACACCGGCAGCAGCAGCGGCAGCACATGGAGCAGTTGGGTGCAGCAGGAAGAGCAGTAAGAGTTCTAGCAGCAAGAGTGGCTGGCAGCATCAGTAGTAGTAGTATGCGGCAGTAAGTCAACACAAAAGGCAGCAACAGCAGCACCATTGGCTGTGCTTTTCTAAAATTGTTAAACTACCAAGTGTATACCATGAAAACATTGAAACAAACAAGTCAACGTTCAGTCTAACACATTGTGCTAGGTCAAAAGCAAACCCACCCAAAAAAAATGCAGAAGTTCAACACTAACATGTCAGGCCTGTAAATCTTTAGTCCTGAACTTTCAGCCTTCGAAACTTTTTACCCTGAAAAAATATGCATCTTTCAAAACCAGACCCTGAAAAATGGGGGTTCCTGCTGGGGGCACCCTGAGCCAACAGCCCCTCAAAATCCAATCAGAAGCCCTGCCCGGACGAGAGGGAGCTGGCCGCATCTGGCCGGCCTCAATGACGACAGCGGCGGAGCTCGTGCTCAAGGCGGCTGTGTCGATGAGGACAGGCGGCGACTGCGGCGGCTGAGGGCTCTCGGCGGTGTGGCACGGGCTGGCGACGACCGAACCGAAGACAGCAGCTACAGCAGGAGCAGGAGGAGATGCAGGGGAGGGAGAGGTGGTGGGGCTGCTGGACTTCAACGCGGCGCCATAGGCGCGGCGCTTACTGGCGGGCTGGCGCGCTGCACGTCCAGCAGCTGCGGAGGTGAAACTCGGCAGCTGCAGCTCGACGACACCGCCGCGGCACCAGAATGACGCCGCAGCAGCGTGGCGTCGGAGCCGCAGCTGCTCGTCGAAGTTGGGACGGCAGCATCAAGTGGCCGCCGCGACATCTTGATGCCACGGCGGCAGGCAGGCAGAAAGCCGCTAAGGCGGCGAACGCAGGAGTGCGCAGCGGAAACGTAGTGAGCAGGCCCGGGACGGACGGCCTGCTCTGAAACCATGTTCGAATGCGAGCTAACAAGTAATGAAGAAGGCCGCCATGAAATGGCGGCCGGGGTTTGGCTAGGGAAGAAGAAAAGTGTCGAGAGAGAAGAGGCGTAGACTAGAAGAGAATGAAGTACAAGAAGGGGGTTGTCCCCCCTACAGTAGGATGCAGTTAGTAGCATAACTACCAAGCCTAAACTTATATAAAATATAATTTTAACAGGCTAGATTACAACAACACCAGCACCTAAGCATGCTCAAATGCATTCCCCTCTTTGATGTTACAATGTTTGAGTGAAAAAAAGGTACACCTCCAGCTCTCTACAAGCAGCCCCATCTTGCATGAGTCAAGCTGGAAGCCGTGTGGCTGCACTGCTTGCTGCAGCTGCTGCCATGCTGCTGCCTCCGTGCCAGCTATCCTCACCAGCAGCTGGCACACTGCTAGTCCAGCCAGGCTGCTGGCCCATGACGTGCCGTCGCCTTGCTCCAATGCACCTATGTCCACCTGCCACCACATGTGCCAGGGGCCGGTGTTAGGGAGCCGCGGGGCGATGGGATGGGAGGAGTGGAGGCAAGAAAAGAAGTCAGAAAGAAAGCTGATCATAACCTTGATAAAAAGGAGAATGTATTACGAAGAAGAAGAGCATGTGGATAACAATGAGCATGCGCCAGGCTGTTACCACATGCATCAGGCTGTTACCACAAGCATCAAACTGCTACCACATGCATCGGGCTGTTAGCAAATGCATCAGACTGTTGGCACATGCATCAGACTGTTAGCACATGCAGCAGGCTGTTAGCACATGCATCAGACTGTTACCACATGCATCAGGCTGTTACCACATACATCAGACTGTTAGCACATGAGCATGTGCACGCCAGGACCAACTTTGTAGCTTGCATTGAAACGGCACAGAACACATGCACATGCACAAGGACACGCACAGTAATACGTACATGCTCAGGCACACGCTCAGGCACTGGCACAGGCTCAGGCACAGGCACGGGCACAGGCACAGGCGGCTTACCTTGAGTGCGTCAATAAGAGTGGTCGGCGAGCCTTGTCCGCTTCCAGCGTTCAGCCAATCCGCTGCCTGATTGCTGACGTGGATTCCTGGCACGTGATCGCCCAAGGAGGCCTCCCATGTGGTGTCGGATTTGTTGGTGCCAATGGTGATGACGGTGCTGCAGGGTGGTGCGGGGGGGGGGGGGAGGCAGAGTGTGGTGGCGGATTTGTCGGTGCCGATGGTGATGATGGTGCTGCAGGGTCGGGGAGGGAGAGCAAAGAGAGTGGAGGCATATGTATGTATGGCATGATTGAGTGGGGCATCGTGTGAGAAATGGGAGGCATGCTGAAACAGAGGGTGCTTGGCAAGCATGCAGGAAGGGAATGAGACAGTTGATCATGACGCGGACCATAGAATGATGACACGACACTTGGAATGATGACGCGACAAATGGGACGGTGACGCGACCATGGAAATATGACAAGACACATGGGATGACGCCATGACACAAGGGATGATGCCATGACACAAGGGATGATGCCACGACACAAGGGATGATGCCACGACACAAGGGATGATGCCACGACACAAGGGATGATGCCACAACACAAGGGATGATGCCACGACACAAGGGATGATGCCACGACACAAGGGATGATGCCACGACACAAGGGATGATGCCACGACACAAGGGATGATGCCACGACACAAGGGATGATGCCACGACACATGGGATGATGCCACGACACAAGGGATGATGCCACGACACAAGTGATGACGCCACGACACAAGGGATGATGCCACGACACAAGGGATGATGCCACGACACAAGGGATGATGCCACGACACAAGGGATGATGCCACGACACAAGGGATGATGCCATGGCACAAGTGATGATGCCACGACACAAGGGATGATGCCACAACACAAGGGATGATGCCACGACACAAGGGATGATGCCACGACACAAGGGATGATGCCACAACACAAGGGATGATGCCACGACACAAGGGATGATGCCACGACACAAGGGGCGATGCCACGGCGCGTTCCACTTCAGCTCCTCACTGAATCCAGTATGCGCTCTCCATCGGACATCAAGCATCACCCTTCTCTCACCTCCTCACCTCCAGCAGATTAAGAAACTGACCACTTTCCCGCAGTTGTCTATTTTTTAGGCACTTAAAAAAATAAACCACTTTCCTGCAATTGCCTGAAAATGTTCCAGCAGCATCACCCTGCTCTCACCTCCTTTCATCAAGCAGACCAATGAGTGTGTTGAAGTTGCCCCCGTGCCCCCCCAGCAGTTGCACCTCCCCCAGGTGCGACCTCAGGCACACCGCCAGGGCAGAAGGTGCCTGCCATGCTGAGCTGGCTTGCTGGAACTGAATGGGGTAGGGAGAGAGAGGGGTAAGGAGAGAGAGGGGTAGGGAGAGAGGGGAGTAAGAAGTAGGAGAGAAGGGAGGAATGGAGATGAAAGAAACACTTTTCTGAGCGCCCCCCTCCTTCTCCCTCCCTCCCCCTGCACACTGCCAGAATGTTAAAAAACCATATCCGACAAGAGAGGGAGGGGTGACGAGTAAGCGGAGGGGGAAGTGGATTGGATGGAACAGTGGCAAAAACATATCAGAAATACAACCAGTCAGTCAACACATTTCATCCCAGCTTCAAAAGCATGTTGTTTCCAACCCCGCCTCACCTCTTCCCACGCCTTCACACATTCCTCCACTCTCCCCGCCACTGCGACTATCTCCCTCCTCTGCCGCTCCATCCCCTCCCCCACCACCTCCCCCCACCGCCTCTCCCACTCGCCCTGCCCCCCCCAGGGGCAGTGCGCCGGGCACAGCTGCACGCCTGCCGGGGGGTGGCCCAGCCACACACGGTAGGGGGAGGTCTCGTTGTAGGCGTGGATGAGAGATATGGCCTGAGGTGGGCGGGGGGAAGAGCGGGGTGACCAGCCACAGGGTGAAGGGGAAGAGAGGGGTGACCAGCCACAGGGTGAAGGGGAAGAGAGGGGTGACCAGCCACAGGGTGAAGGGGAAGAGAGGGGTGACCAGCCACAGGGTGAAGGGGAAAGCTGCTCCAAACGGCACGAATCAGAAATAAAGGCTACGGTGGGGGGAAACAGGGAGAGCGGTAGCAGTGCGGTGTGCGGGGAGCAGTGTGGTGTGCTGGCAGCAGTGTGGTGTGCTGGCAGCAGTTCGGTGTGCTGGCAGCAGTTCGGCATGCTGGGAGCAGGGGTGCGGTCCAGCAGCTCAGGCTATGGCCGCGGGTGCGTGTTAGAACAGTGGCCTCAACGCCACCTTTCTCACCCCTCTCACCTCCTCCCTCCCCTCTCACCTCCTCCCTCCCCCCTCACCTCCTCCCTCCCCTCTCACCTCCTCCCTCCCCCCTCACCTCCTCCCTCCCCTCTCACCCCCTCCCTCCCCTCTCACCTCCTCCCATCCCTCTCATGCCTCTCACCCTCCCCTCTCGCCCCTCTCACCTTCGGGCCTTGGGCGCAGGGCTGAAAACAAAAGCCATCCGCCCCTCGTTCCCTCTCCCCTCCCCCTCTCACCTCCTCGCCTTGAGCACACGGCTGGCAGGGGCAGCACTTGGCGCCGTTGGCAGCAGTGCGGGTGGCAGAAGAGAGAGACACGAGCAGAGGCGAGCACACGGAGGGGGCGGAGGTGGGGTTCGCAGTACTATCACCAGTATCGGCACCGGAGGTAGCACCATTCCCATCGGCAGCACTGGCGCCACTGTTGCCGCCCCCGCTGCTGCTGCTGCTGCTGCTGCTGCTGGCAGTAGGTGCGGCGTTGGGTCTGGGCGCCCCGTAGCCCCTCCGAGTGAGCACACAGAAGGGCAGGGAGAGCGGCTTCACTGTCACATTCCGCAGCTGCAGCTGCGCCTCAAAGGCACCCTCGGAGTTGAGCAGCCTGGGGGAAGGGGGGAGAGAGAAACAAGAGCATTAGATTGGTGGGAAGGGATCACGCACATGCAAACGGCAGGGTGAGGCACTTCAATGCCACGATCTGCAGCTGCAGCTGGGCCTATAAGGCACCCTCGGAATTGAGGAGCCTGGGGGAATTGAGAGGTTGGGGGGTTGGGTGCTGGAGGGTTGGGGGTTGGGGGTTGAGGGTGGGGGGGGGGCAACAAGAGCAAGTTGGGAAGGGAGAGTGCCAAGGCAGGGAGTGAAGGCTAGTTAGAGAGGGGTGTAAGAAAGAAACGCACATGAAAGAAACGCACGTGAAAGAAACGGGAGAAAAGGAAGAAGAGAGTGCAGGATGGCGATACAGCAGCCTGAGTACCACCACTTCACTTCACGTCTCCACCAAGTGCGGTGGCTCCATCAGACCCCCCTTTTCCCGGCGAGGTGGCTTTTAAGTCGAGTCAGAGTCAGAGGTCCTCCGTCGCTCCATCAGACCCCACCTTTTTCCGGCGGCCAACAGCGCTGGCAGCACGAACAGTCTCCTCAGAGCCACCTCGCCGACCTCACAAAACCGGCCGTTCACCCGGCCTCACCCCCACCCGTACTGCACTGCACACTATAGCTGGCAGAGTCCAGCGCCCAGAGAGGAGGGGGTGGGGGCAGTTTCAATGCGCCTGCAGGTGCCACCTGTAGAGCAGAGCAGCCCACCTATGCCCACCTTTTCCCGGCTTGGAAGAGCGCTGGCAGCACGGACAGTCTCCTCAGAGCCACCTCGCTGACCTCCCTGCCCCCGATGCCGAACCGGTCGTTCACCCCCCCCCATCCCCACCCGTACGGCACGCTGTAGCTGCCAGGGTCGAGGGTCCAAAGGGGCGGGGGAGGGGCGGTCCAGAAGGCGTCGACCCGTGAGCGCAGCACCCAGTGGAAGGTGACGCTGTGGGCCTGCTCATGCGCTGCAATGAGGTCGACACAGCCCTCCACCAGGCGGAAGTACTGCAGGAGGCCCTGGGAGGAGAGGGGGGGATGGTGGAGGAGAGCAATGAGAGATGCAGCACCCTGTGGTAGGTGATGCTGTGTGTCCGCTCGTGCGCTGAGGTAAGGTCAAGGCAGCCCTCCACCAGGCGGAAGTACTGCAGGAGACCCTGGGTGTAGGGAGGGCGGGGAGGGGGGAGAGAGGGGTGGAACTCAGAGAGCGACAAGCGAGGGAGAGGAGGGAGAGGAGCGATTCGGAAGGCGTCGACCCTTGAGCGCAGCACCCAGTGGTAAGAGGGGTTGTGGGTTCGTTCGTGTTGAGAGATGAGGGCAAGGCAGCTCTCCAGCCCTCCACGAGGCGGTAGTCCTCCAAGAGGCACCGCAGGGAAGTGAGAGGGAACAACACCACTTGTGGTCTTAGCCATGCGTGGCGGTGGCACGTCTGTAAAAGTCCTGCAGGAGGCCCTGGGGGAAATTGAGAGTGCGAGAGAAGATTTTTTAGGCGCCTAAAAAATCGTCTCATTTCAAGCGGATTTTATATGGGGAATATTTTCATTGCATGGAGGTGTGCACGTAACCTTCAAAAGTTACTTGTGCAAGCCAAGTTACCAAGGCTTATCGACAGTCCCGAAGGCTGACATCTGCAACCTCGGGTTTTTACCCACTGCGGTGTTGGCGAATGCCCATTGATAGGCAATCTGGGTAGTTGATAATCTTGAGAATTGTTTTCGAGGGTGTGGGTTGTTACTTAGCTCATGCCTAGGCCTGTAATCTCTTATGTCCAGTAGCACTGATGAAGGCTCAGCGGGTTTGATCCCCGTAAGCCGAAACATGTTTGCGACTTGGTAAGTTTGAGTGAAGGGCTTTTCGAGCAAATCTCTTGCCTAGGATTTTTTACTCTTGTTCTTTCTGCTCAAGCGACTAACTTTGCACTGCTGCTCTTCCCAAGACCATGAGTGACGACGGGCCATGCGTGGCGGTGGCAGGTCTGTAAAAGTCTTGCAGGAGGCCCTGGGGGGAATTGAGAGTGCAAGAGAAGAGCTGAAGGAGATGTGGAGAGGAGAGGGAGTGAGGGAGGAATTGAGAGCGCATCTTGGCTCTTCCCTGGTGTTCCCTTGCTCATATCAATACAACAAGGACAGCTCGAGAGAGGAAGGCGTGGGAGAGAGACGATCACTAGACTGGGAGGTACGTAGCCTCGAAATTCCGCAGCATCTCCCTCTCCCCGAAATCTCCTTCTCGCCTGCGCAGCACACCTCTCGCCTGCACACCTCGCACCACCATCCCCTCCCCACCGTCAATGCTTGTCTCACTCACCTGCACACTCCTCTCGACTCACCTGCACTCCTCTCGTCCCACCTGCACTCCTCCCCATCATCAATGCTCGTCTCACTCACCTGCACGCCATGCGGCGACCCACTCTTGGTGAGCAAGGCATGGCTCATCCTCGTTTCAGTCACATCTGTGTTCGGCACGATGCGCACCCCCCCTATTGTCAACCCCTTAACCCCCCCTGCCCCTGCTCCACCCCCCCCTCCTGCCCCACTCCCTCCACTGCTCCAATCACCACCATCCACGTCAGCAGCGGCGTGCAGCAGCGCCCACAGCTTGCTGGTTTTGTCATCTAGCGGGGCGAGCAGGAAGAGGTGCAGCGGGCGGTATGCCGGCAGCAGGTGGTGCAGAATGGACGGGCCTGACGCCTCGAAGTCCCGTGCGCCTCCCACCAAACACACGGCGGTCAGGGGAGGGTTGGCTACCTTGTGGCATGGGGGGATGGGAATCAGGTCAGCGACAGGGGGGGGGAGAGGGTTGGGTTGCTGGCAGCAGGGGTGTAGAATGGCCGGGCCTGACGCCTCAAAGTCCCTTGCGACCGCCACCAGACACACAGCTGTGAGGGCAGAACGAGCTACTTAGTTTTGAGACGTCTCAAAACTCAAAACGTTTGAGACGTCTCAAAACTGAACTCCCTTGCGCCTCCCACCAGACACACAGCTGTGAGGGGTGAACGAGCTACTTTGTGCGGGAGGGTGCGGGGGAGGGTGAAAATGGTTTGGGTGGGTTGGGAGATGGGAGGCGAGGGGAGCGGGAGAGGGGGGGAGAGGGGAATTGGAGCTTCACATATAAACACGCATTGGCGCGGAGGAGGAAATCAAGTGGGGGGAAAGGGAGTGAGTGGCGGAGGGGGAGAAATGGCGTGCTCCGCCAGGTGACGCTTCGGAGGGAGTGAGAGAGGGGGCGGCGAGTGAGGATGCAGCAGCGTACCTCATGGGATTGGGCCTTATGGGCGAGACTGGGGCGCAATCCCTGCGAGAACCATTACACAGCAACACAGCAACACAGCAACACAGCAACACAGCAACGCAGCAACACAGCAACACAGCAACACAGCAACACAGCAACACAGCAACACAGCGACACAGCGACACAGCGACACAGCGACACAGCAACACAGCAACACAGCAACACAGCAACACAGCAACACAGCAACACAGCAACACAGCGACACAGCGACACAGCGACACAGCAGCACAGCAACACAGCAACACAGCAACACAGCGACACAGAGCATGAGGCATGTGTTGAGACACACAACACACGCCAAGCCACAGCGCGCAGCTGGTTTTGGATTCTCAAATTCCAACTCAACACACACGTAAGCCACAGAGCACTGCAGTCACAAGCCGCCGCACGAAACATGCCAGCGGGGAGAATGCACGGCAGCAGGCGGCGTGAGTAGTACTACTAGTCCCTAAACCGGAGCGTCACCTGGCGGAGCGCGTCTCTCTGCGAGGCGAACGAGGCGCTCCAGAAGACGAGGACGAGCGCGAACGTCGCTATGGCTCCCCGAAACGGCTTAATCTGCGCGGCGACCAGAGCACCCGTGCCAGAGCCCGTCGGAAACATGGTCGCGCCGCCACGAGTGGAACTCGTGAGCCGATTCCTTAAAGCCAGGGACCCAAGTTTCTAACATCCATGACAAGTGTTTCACACTTGATTGAAAGTAACTTGGGTTTGTGTCGTGGGGGAGCTACATAGCGTTGGCGGGGTTTCTCAACTGCACGTCGCCTACCAACCTCTCTGCGCGAACCGTCTGTAAAATCTTGAGAAACTCGAGCCCGTTGAGGGAAAGGCGGGCCACGAGCGCCAATGACGAAATTCCCGAAAGCAATCGATATTGCTGTTCTCATAGCAGGTTTCGCTGGTCCCCACCGCTCGTTGGCCAATCAGTGATTTTCTTTCTAACCAGCTGTTACAAACTTGGGCTTCTTGCATCACTTCGATTGCGCGCAAACACGACCCTGCTGAACCTCGGCCGTTCTAACTTCACGAATCCTGAAACGCGGAGCCTGGTAACGTTCGCGAACACATTTCCCACGAGAAATCACATCTTGATCCATTCTTCAACAACACCTCGCCAACTAGTGGGAAGTGAGCGAGGATTCGAACGAAGTTTTTCCTTCCCCACCAAAATTGGAAACGTACAGTAGCACACTTGTTTTGTCCCTGGAACAGCTCATGAGAACTAGCCGTTGTGGCTCCTGTTATGAATGGGACTGCCGAGTAGCGCGGAGGGCAATGGCGAAACCGTGAACGAGTGAATGACAATAAAATGAAAGACAATACAATATATAGAAAGCCTAGGGTGATCCTGGACGTAGGATCGGAAGGTTCGGGAAAAGTGTCGAAGGGCCTCGATGTGTCGTAGCGAGGTCCGGAAAGGCCCAGGAGGCTCGAACTGATAGGTCTGGAACCCTGGCGATGGTTCGGGACTGTTCGAGTCGTACGCCCTGTAGCAAGCCTCAATAAGGAATCCCTAATTCCTTACAGCTCCCGTCGCGGGAATCCCGTGGCGGTACTTTCCCTCATGAGAAGCCGAGGCACGGCCCAATCGCACTCCCAAGCAGACTGGAGACTCGAATTCCGGAACTCGACTGTCCGCGGACAGATTGCCTATCCGAGTTTCGAAACTGGCGCAAACGGAACTCGTGACAACGGTGACGGAACCCAGTTCCGGAAGTGGGCCCACGAAACCGTAGGCTACACGCCCTTAGTCCGACTGCGTACCAAGACGGGGTATCGCCGATTCGCCGACCAAGCCTAAGTTGATATTATATTTGCAGCATAACATAAGTTTTACCCATCTCATTTTCTTATTTCTCCCTTCTAGCAACATCCAGATTTCTCCAACTCAAAATTCCCACTAGTGCACAGGCAAGTATCGTAGTTTTACAGTCACGCCTACACGATGTCTTGGTCTGGATGAGATTTCGCGTCACGAGCATGGATCCGTGACTGGTGGGCCTTACCTCGACGTAGTTTCATGTCGCAAGTATCGTCCGATAACATGTCCGATGACCTCATTTGCCCCATTTTCCGTCTACTGAACCAGCCGTCGCTCAACCACGCATTGGTCTGCAAGTGATGGCATCGCATCGCTAGACATATACAGACCGTCATTTCCAATGTGTATGATCACTCTCGCCTAGCCAAAACTGTCCGCCTCCTCTGATCGATGTCTGAATTCAAGGATCTGACGTCGACAGATGCAGAATTACCGATTTTAGTGACGAATTTCTCATCAGCCTCGGTTCCGCCTATCAGAAAAAATGATTGAACTAGAATGTGTGAGTACAAGGGTATATAGACTAGGGTGTTGTACCCTCTAAGGCACAATCCAGTATACTCTACAATAACGACCTAAGTTACATTTGACACACCCCCTAGACTATGTAGGGGCAGTGTCTAACAGGGAAAGAAGCAGCTCAGGGCGGCACTACTAGTCCAGCCTCTGAGGCAAGGGTCTAAAGACCAGTCAAAGGAGTACAGACAAGACAAGAGCAAGACCAGGGCGGCACTACTAGTCCAGCCACTGGAAGAGGCCACAAGGCCAGTCAGGGTAAAATATATATATAAATGACAGTACAAAGTCAAGGCCCTAGCAAGTGAGAGGCTACAGGAACGAGACCCAGCTGTACACAGTGCCGCTTATGATCTTTAGGCGCAAGCGCCTTCGTAAAGATATCAACTGTGTTGGCACCGGAGGCCAAGTGTACTACGCGCGCCTGGCGGCGCTGCTGGAGCTCAAGCAGGAGGAAGTACCGCAGCTGGATGTGCTTCGCTCTGCCCTCGAGTCGAGGCTCCTAACACAGGAGGATCATGGCCCTGTTATCAGCGTATAGGACCGGGGCAGAGCTAGGCCGCTCACCTAAGTCAGTGAGCAAGAAGGTCAGCCAGCGGAGCTCCTGTGCCGCCATGGCACCGGCGTAGATCTTGGCCTCATAGCTGGACTGGGCAACAGGCGAGGAGCGGGTAGCTCTCCACGAGACGGCACCTGAACCAAGGCTGAAGCAGTAGCCCTGCGAGGACCTGAGCGTCTCGGCGTCGTCTGCCCAAGAAGCGTCTGTGTGTCTAGTAAGGACCACTGGCCTGCGTCCTCCTAGCACTAACCCCATGCCCGATGTACTTGCAAGATAACGCAAAACCCTCTTAGTGGCAGACCAGTGCTGAGGTCGGTGTCTGCCTAGAGCCACAAAGCGAGCCAGGATGCTGAGAGGGTATGCGAGATCTGGGCAAGTGCAAGTCATCAGGTACATGAGGCAACCCACCAGCTCTGCGTAAGGACCACTGGGCTCTGCTGACTCCTCAGGAACTGGTGCGGAGAGCCTGTGGTCTAGAGGCAGAGGAGTGGGCTGTGCGGAGGAGAACTGAAGGCCGAACCTCTGAAGGACCTGGCGCACCAAGTGTGACTGAGTCAAAGTGATGGTGCGCGCTGCTCTGTCCCTGGAGATCTGCAAGCCAAGGTAGTGGCGCAGTTCTCCAAGGTCAGTGCAAGTGTTTCTCTTCAGTAGCTCTGCCTTCACGGAGGCCAACGTGTCCCTGTCTGCTGTGGCGAAGACCAAGTCGTCTACGTAAACAATGATGTAGAACGGGGTCTGGCCAGCACGAATGAAGAGCGAGGGGTCTGCAAAGGACGGAGAGAAATGCAGGTCAGCAAGCGTAGCACGCAGCGTGTCAAAGCTAATGTATTTTGACCTCCGCCACCCTCCCAAGGCCTTGTTTTCGGGTAATAGATCTCTGGACGCCAGGATAACGGATTCTAGTCTGGATGCACTCTTCACCGTTTGCACCGGCTTGCAGTACCTTTCCCTGCAGTTTTCTAGTGGAAAACTACATCCGCGCTCAGTATTAGGGTCCCCGCTATCATGTACGGTCAGTGGAACACTATAAACCATCAGAATTAGTGAGTTCGTCACATGGTTAGTCAGTCGGGTTCCACGGTTAGTCAGTGACTGCTAGTAAACATTTCTATGAATGGTCAGTGGACGTAACCCCCACCCATTTTGGGCAGATCTCCCGCTCGCGACAGCCCAACAACCAAACGACTGTAATAATTGCGGGGGGTGAAATTTTTTTCGCGCCAGCCTGGCGCTGCACATTTCGGTGGCGATATTGGAGTAAGGGCGAAATGTACAGTACCAAGCATTGGAGTGAGGGCGAAATGTACAATGCCAAGCGTTGGAGCGATGACGAAATGTACAGTACCGAGGGTTGGAGTGAGGGCGAAATGTGCAGCGCCAGGCTGGCGCGAAAAAAATCTCGCCCCCCGCAATTATTACAGTCGTTTGGTTGTTGGGCCGCCGCGAGCGGGAAATCTGCCCAAAATGGGCGGGGGTTACGTCCACTGACCATTCGTAGAAATGTTTACCAGCAGTCACTGACTAAACGTGGAACCCGACTGACTAGCCGTGTGACGAACTCCCTAATTCTGATGGTTTATAGTCTTCCACTGACCATACGTAATAGCGGGGACACTAATGCTGAGTGCGGATGTACTTTCCCTTTTATAGTAGCATAATTTGGCGTTTGCATTCATCCTTCTTCGGTTTATCATCCTTAACGGAGGTTCATCTCAACATTGCGATCTCCGAACTTCTTGGTCAGTTCAACAAGCTTAGGCTCCTCAAGACGATGGCCCTTAGGAACCTAAACTTTATTGAACTCCCGGAGTCCCTTGGCCAGCTCACCACACTGACCGAGCTGTAGATCTCAGGGATTGAGGGCCTTAAGAAGTTACCCGACTCCGTTGGTGGCCTCTCCTTGCTAGCCTTTCCAGCATGGACTGGTTTGAGAACTTCCTGACACCGTCAGCCAGCTTCAGCGCCTCAAAGAGGTTCACCTGGATTGCAACCCGAACGTCTTTGAGCTGCGGGATTCCTTCTTCCAGCTTCCTTCTCTACGAATCCTCGTGCTGCGGAGGTGTGACGATTTTGCAAACTCCATAGCGCCGTCTCCTACCTCACTTCGCTGGAGGAACTTACCATCCACAACTGCATGAAATTATGCTAGCTTCCTGCTTCCATCGGCCACCTCCATAACCTTCGTCGCCTGGTGATCGAGAGATGCATAAGGCTAGATACCCTCCCAGACAGCGCAGGACTCGTGCCATCTACGGAGCATCTGGAGCTGTGCAAGAGCAGAAGGCTGACTAACCTTCTAGAGTCAATCTCCAGGTTGACATCTCTCAGGTATTTCTCTCGGAAGCGGTGCAACAGCATCAAGAATGTCAGTACGTCTCTGTTCCAGAGCTGCAGCAGCCTCACAACGCTTGAATTCGGCTGGCCAAAGAGTTGCAAGGTCCAAGACGAGGCTGGCTGGTTTCGCCTCACCAAGGCCTTCATGGCATCCCTTTGCCAACTACCGAGCCTCTCAAACATGTACATTTTTTGTTTCCCCTGCTTCTCCGAACTTCCGCAGCAGATTGGAAATATTTCTCAGTTGAGATGGCTGACGCTGTCCTCCTGGCCGAACCTGCAATCCTTGCCTGAGTCCATGACCAAACTCACGGATCTCATGACTCTTGTAATCATTGCATGCTTGGGCTTGTACGGGGATAACATGAGGCGTGGTCTTCCGCACCATGTTAAACTAAGCTAGGTAGGAGGGAAGCCTTGGAATGGAGTGAGGTTTAGGAATGAGAAAGTTGACGAGAGAAAAGGGGTCGAGAATAGAAGAGAGAGGAATACAAGGAGGGGGGTTGTACCCTCTACAGTAGGTTTCAGTAACACCTACCAAGCCTACCAATTATA